GTGAAAGAGCCAGATAACATAGTGAGAAAAACAATAAAGCACTAGAATTAAATACAAAATCTATTGACACGTCTTGAGTCTGGATGTTTCTGGAGTGTTTGTTTGTGAAAGTCAGTGTGCGTGCCGGGCCTGGTACCATATGTGAGGCTGAGTAAAAGTGCGTGTAAGCTGAAACAGTCTTCATTAGAACTGCCGCACGACCATCAGTCATTAATTAAGTGTCAGAAGCGTTTAACGGCCAGACACACTGCCGGCCAATTCCCATGCCAGGGTCTAATAACAGCTACAATCTGCCAGAGAGGAAGCACTGCTCACCGGGACGTGCCAGGCAGCCCATATTTCCCAAGAAAATGTGTAAACATAATTACAGCTATTATAGATGCACTTCCATTTAAGGTCAACAAAGTTCAGGCTTTTGAGCCGCACTCAGGAAGGACTTCTTCCTGGCGTCTTGCAGTGTCTTTCTCTGTGAAGTAAACATGCATCACGCGAACAAATGAATCCAAAATACATGAGAGAAAAGCTTCTGGTTCACAGGTATGAAGCCACTATATTGGGCATTCATTCTCGAGGAGAAAACTAGAAAGGAAATCGATGGCAGGTGTGTGATTAACAGTCCCACCTGAAACAACAGGGTTTTTTAGCTGCTACGTTAAAAAAAGAAATTGTCAAAACAATTACAGCAACTGCAGTAACACAATTTCAAAAAATGAATCTGGAGCTGGTGTTTCACAGGGATCACAGCCAATAAACAGGACAGGAAACAAGACAACAATGGATACCCCTTACATATTATAGTTTACTCTGAATTTGCTGATTCAATTGTGGATTGTTTATTAAATTAGTTCAGACATTGTAAAGAAGATTGGTCACTGATGACATACACAGAATAAAACTGTTTTGTTGTATTTCTAGAAAGGCTAGACAAAATGTTTCACCCATATATTTGTAAAACACATTGGTGAGTTAGTGTTTTTGGAAGGGCGTACATCAATTAACAAAAATAAATCTTAATATGCCTGTTAACTGTGGCAGGAGGCAAATAGGCTACAACGGCTTGAAATGAGTTCAAGGCTCAAACAAACACTTACATGGTTGACATTTACAAACCAAACACAATTGCTCGGAGAGATGATGATCATTCATGACTCATTCATTTTCTCCCATTTGTTATTACCTGGCAACCGAACCATTGGCGGTTCAACTCCGCGGCTACGACAAGTCCTGTATCGAAGTGTCCCTGAGCAAGACACCAAGCTCCCAATCTGACATATTTATTCTATTACAGACTGTGATCTAGAGCCTCTATTCAACAAAATGTGCGGGAGCATAACAAACCCCAAGCCTAATGCAGCGGAGAGCAGCAATGTACAATGTGGGGGAAAAGCTACAGCTTTTGATACATTTATGTTTAAGAAAAGAAGTCACAGCTCTCACAGAAATTCCTATAGAAAACATTAAAAAAACAATGTTTGAATAACATTATGTCAGCTAAAGATCCATTAGTTTAAATTCATGCCATTGAATTCAACAGTAGCTAGCTTTGATGAGACGTTTAATCAAAATTGAAACAAAAGGTTTAGGCATAATAACAATGATAGCAATATTATTGCAGTAGCATATATATTATTGTTTTGCAATAAGCTGTGATTGTCTGCTAAACCTCTCAAAGCACCAATCTCATTATATACTCATGCTTATTAAGCAGCCGCAGAACACATGGAACAATGGAGCGATGCATCCATTCCATGCAGACTTGGAAAAAAAGAAATATAAAAAACAAGGAAGAAGCCATTAGCAGCTAAACTAATAGCATTGTCGACTTCTGGTACATTCATTTGTTTACATGTGTTTCAGGCATGTTCTTTTTTTTTTTTTTCTCCTTGCGCAAAGATTGCTTTTCAGTGCCGGAGGCTATCGGTCATTTAATCCAAAAACTGTACTCAGCTAATTTTACCGGAGCAAGCAGCAAACAACATCCAAGCAAATGATCCAATCGTAGCGGGTCATAAAAGCCCTTCCAAAGCCCTCCGCGTCAACTTACTGACCCAAACACACCAACAGGCCTACAATGTGCTCCAAGTAAAATGTACATTAGCCCATGTGGAGAGAAAGTGGAACATTTGTGGTTTCATCCAGGTATACGCTTATATTTTGCCTCCGTCATCCGCCTTTCATTTAGACAAGTCCCTGACTTAAGGGGACGAGCCTCATTTTTCAATTAGGCACTAGACTCACTCACGCTTCACTGCTTTCTCATAACCCTCATTTACTCTGCCCCCACTTTCCTCTTTAATGCTAATAGAAAGGAGAGAGGGGGGAGTTGGAGAGGGGGTGGGGAGAGGAGGGGGTTCGTCGAGAGATAGAGACGCTATTGTAGATGAGCTCTGATGGATGCAGATGCGGAGAATGCTGTGTTTTTGGAAGGACCTCCTGTAATACCTACATGTCAAATCCCAGGGGTATTCATGCATTCACCTCAGCATCAGAGGACAATTTTAAGTAGTAGGACCAAAGATGGAGGTATGAAAACCTGCAAAATTGGTTTAGAAAATAATCATACTACATTTTTCGGGAAATATTGTGTGCATACCTTTTCTTCTTATTTAAGACACCTGCAGTGCCTTAATAATGAGCCTGCAGCCTTAGTGAGAAAGAGTTGGCTTTATATTTGTTTAGTTTTTTTGGCTGACCCACTTGGTAGGCACATAGATTGTGCAACTAAGACACAAAAGGAAGACACATCCCGGTACTTTAACATTCAAGGCAGAGGGAGAAGGAGCAATAGCACTCTAGCGAACAGACAAATAAACAGGGGGGGCGTGCAGGTTGAATCTGCAGTAGAACAGACCGAAGGGGAGAAGACAAGTGAGAAAGGGGAGGGAAAAAAAACATGGAGAGAAAACCGGCAAAGATGAAAAGCATTGAATGCAGTAAGACATAAAGAGATATCCGACACTTCGATATTCCCGGTAGAAGTTCAGAGGCTTTTGCAAATGTTTCTAATTCCCTTTTCCTCCATTAGCCCCCTTCTCCGCCGCTATAGATTACGCATGAATAAAAAGTTTTGCAAAGAGATGAAGAAGAAAAAGAATGGAATAAGACAGGATCAAGGAGTCTGATGGTTGCCATGGCGATTAGAGGGGAGCGATTCCAGAGTGGTCTCAGCCATTACGCAGTGTGTTGGGGAGATGGACTGTGCAGCACTTAGGCTTATTGCAGTGTGGGCTGAACAGATATCTAATATAGACAAGATGGGCTCGCACCAAAATGGTGGATGGTAAGCACAGGCCAAGTAAAAAAGGCTTCAGAATGCTGTGGTTTTACAGCCCTAAGCTGTGCTGAGAAAAGGCGATCATGCAAAGAAAAAAAAGAAAAACGGACACTTATCCCATTTGAGAAAATGGAAGGACAAAAGCCTCACACACATACGCAGTGAAACACACACTACGGCTGAGAGACCGAGCACTACAACAGCTACAGATGGGAGAGTAGTGTTATCATTAACCATTAGTGTGATACAAAAGAAGCAAGATCCAAATGGAGAAACGGGACTTGAATAAGACATGCAACAATTTTTAAGTAATATCTGTGATCTATAAAAACGGTTGGATGCAGGATAAATTGATGACATAGATATTGAGTTGGTGAATTGTTATCAGATTGAATAGTGATGCCTCTTACGCGTTAATTTAACCTAAAGGAATTCTTTGATTGTCAATTCATTGAAAAAAAAAAATAACAAAATGTCCAACTAATACCCACAGTTGGAAGATTCATCATCTCTGGTGCCTGGAGCCACGGAACCATAGTGGAATTGACACAGAAAAGTCCAAAAACCCATAAATAGCACCAAAAAAAAGCACTGATTTGAATGTGACGCTACAATTTACCCGTGTGCATAATCTATACAGTGTATTAAACGTTGGCCGATCTTCCATCCATTTAGCTACATTGCGTGACTCGTCCTGTACCTCTCACTCTCCAATTAAGGTCCGCTCTGACCCGGAGGCCAGCGCTACGCGTCAGGGGCCTCTCACTTTTCCCATGTGCGACGGGTCAGTGCGGTTGGTCTCACTCGTGTCATGTGAAGTGGGTGACAGGTAATTACAGCTTTGCACTCATTTCCACTGGTGCTAAGGCAGAACAGTCTCTATGGGAAAAAAAAGTCACTGGAAGAGGAAATATTTACATCCTTTGTCCACTTGGGTTTATTGATTGTATTGAGTGTGTGACTGCATTCAATTCAATTCAATATAAACACCTGTTATTTGTAATACATTCTTGCAAAAAAGACCATCCAAGGTCACTGCGAGTTTAATTTCCACTTGTGAGACAGTTACCCAACTGCCTCCAAGCAGCGGTTTTATCTCGTCACGCAATGTGGTCTTAGGCCTCCCCGGTTGCTTGATGTTGCTCAGCCGTGCCGCGTCCCCGTTCCCCATGTTCACCGTATCGCAAAAGGACCGACAAACTCTTGTCAGGTAATTAGCCTAATTTGTCACTCTTTTGTATCTCTTTTCCCCCTCCTTAAACTCTCTCCTCCTGCGTGGGTTTGACGAGTGCCATCATTACTGTTCTCCAACCATGGGTCCTAAAGCGTTCCATGTCACCACGATAAAGGTCCATTCCCTGACCTGACAAGAGACAATAACCCAGCTGTGGAGAACGGCTTTGAGACTAAAGCGTTTAAATCAATTCAGTACACACTAACTACTGTGTTATGCAACATCAGTACACTGTGTTCCCGTCTCCTCGTGTTTTTTTCTGACATGTTTTGGTGAATTTAAGAGATTTCGCTTAGTAACTCCGAAGCCTTTTCCAGTAACCTTTGCAACACGATGACTAAGAGTGGCTGCGATGCCATGTGTACTTGGCATAAAAAAGTGAAGCGCAGGGTTGAAATGAATGGCGGAAAATCTGAGACGTGTAAGTTGTAGGAGCACGTGTCATTACTTAATCGTTCGGCTCAAAAACATACAACCTGGGAGTCGTGTTACCTTCATAGGCAGCTTTAAATCCCTGCCCGCTGACGGCGTAGTCGGACAGAAGCCACAGTGTGAGCCTGGAGCCCGTACTGACGATGGGCGAAGGCAGCTGGAATCCCGTTAACCTGAGAAACAAATGGACAGAAAAACCACCGTCAGTCAAAAAAACAACGAAAGATCCAATCAACGGTACCGTTGGTGATGCGGTCAGGTAGGAAGGGTAGGATTTCCATCGAGCCAGCTGTTCTCTTCATTGTTCAAGGATACGTCTTCGTATAACTCGACAGATCATTCTCCAAATGCACCAAACGGAGTAACTGCAATCAGGTATCCGCAGTAAATTGGGAACACAGCAGCCAGTGTTGGAATGAACAAACAGTTGCAACAGACAACAAACAAAACTTCTCAGATTGAGTAAACCACGATTTTTAATGGCAAATCGCTGCTTTTGAGATATGATCTTCCCATGAAAAAGAATATTGGTTTACTTTCATTTATTTGTTGTTCAATGTTCTTTTTCTGTTGGACGTCATTAAGACTCAGTTCAATACTATTTTTAAAAACGCTCCTTTACTTTGTGGATTATGGAACTGTATTTATCAAACATGAGCACTTACTATTACATCCTACTATTAAACCTAAGGGTACAAGTTTTGCAACAGCTTTAAATGTGTAGTTAAGATGGAGCCTGTGAGGAGCTGCCAATAGATGAAGAAAAGATTAGACACACATTCCTACTAGTGTTGATATACAAACGTACAGATTGCTAGTTTAAAATAACAATATTCATTTTTTTAAATATGCTGTCATACAAAATCCACAAAACTGAAGCCTCTGGAGAAAGTGTAATTTCACTCACTGGAAAACAAGGAAAATAATCCTACAGCTGTCATTATTCAGGACACAACAATAGCAATTACTGATGATAGATCATGGAACAGAATTGTTCAGAAATCGCTTAATTGTATATTTGAAATGCATTCTATGCTACAGTTGGTTCTCTTAGATTATTACTTCAAGCACAGGTGAAGAGGACACCACATATTGGTTATGCATGCACGGCCTTTGATGTTGTGGCCAAGCAGCCCAGGTGCCCATGAGACACCGCCAGCCTAAAACAGCCGACCAAAGATCTGAAACCATGCCTGAATTAGCTTCTGCCATTGTGCCGAGGCCCTTTGCAAATTCAACAGAAAGAATACAACCAAACTTGCAGCATTCGATGGGAAGGTTGAAGAGCAATGTCACTCACTCCCTTATAACAGGTGTGAGTAAAACCATTAATACTCGGGAGATGGACATGAATAAAGGTTTGGTGTCCTCTTTTGGCACAAAGGTACACTGCATGAAATGAGTTTGAACATACACATATATTACTGATCAAACACTATATCATATTATATGGAACATTAAATCAAATATATCAGTTATATGTAAATTTGTTTGTCTTGAACCATAAATAGTATAAATTGGCCACCAAATGCGTTATTTGTTCCCAAAAATACAAATAATGAAATAATTAAGGCTCTATTGATGGTATAGCAGTGTTACGTAATTAAAAGAGCACATTATAAATGTTTAATGAAACAACATTACTTCACTACAACATCTGTGGGACAAATAAGCACTGCATTATGGAAACAAGTAACCTTGTAATAAGCATTGACTTATTAGTGCTTGCTTCCAATAGCATCTTTTACCAGTTTCAGCTATGAGTAATAATATAATAATAAATCCATTTAACATCTTTGTAACTCACATTGCGGCACAGTGGTGGCACTCACACATACATGCACTTGTTAAAACTCAGACATCCACTTATCATTTGTTGCCAGTCACCACAGCTTGATTTATCTGTGCACAGCCTACTGATTTACTGATTTTAATAAAGGATAATGTTGTCACCTGACCTTTATTTAATCCTAAAATGTTCCTTCCGGATTGCCACTTTAATTTGTTTTTTATGTTCCCTCATGCACTCTTTCACTGCAGGTGTATCCTACTTTTTACAATCCATTACATCCCTCCCTTTTATCTCTCAGTGTTAAGAGAGGCCTCAGCGCCTCACTTAATCCTTAAGTACCACAGTGGAGACGGGAAAAATTGCAAAACACCAGTATGGGAAAAAAAGATGAATTGAACCAAAAAGGGAGGAAGACTTCAATATATGCATGATTTCACTCCTTTCTGTGAGATTGTCACGGCGGGATATCAGCTAAACTATGGGACACATGTTCATGCAAATAGCCCCTTCGCTGACCACAAATTGAGTTGGAAGGCAGCCATCTTGGTTCAGCAGCGCACTGCAGGGAAGGGGGGATTGATAGAGGGTATGATGGAGGGGCTGAAAGTGCAAAGGCAAGGGGGGGGGAGGGATTCTCGCTGCATCCAAATCACGATGCGGGCCCAAATCCTTTCTTTCCGGGCTAAGAGAAAACAAAATGGATGCTGACGTCACGGACACCGGCTTCACGTGTGAAGTGAGATTAAATATTGCAATGCAACGGTACGTGTGCTGTGGCCATCTGAGGCGGCTGGGGGATTGCCTGTTATCGAGGAAAAGATGCGAGATATGATTGCGACGGAGCGATACAAAATAATGGATTTGTAGCCCGGTGTGTCTGGAACTGGTAAATGGATGGAGGGAGGATGAGAGAGGGGCAGAAGAGGATAGAAAGAGAAGAATAGAGAATGTAATCCCAGAAATGAGGGCCTCTGAGGGGAAGAATGGGTGTCGGTGTGCACGGCTGCATCCGCGTCATGTGTTTGCATAAGCGCGGCGGGGGCACGAGGAGAGCATAGGTCTATTAGGAGGGCTTTCCACCTGACTAGCCTCAGTATCATCCCAACGAAGAACCTCTGCTTCCAATTATCTCACCGCTACCCGAGGGACGAAGGGAGGGGACGGGCAGACACAGAGGGACACAGAGCACGTGCACAAAGATGACTGTATAGGAGACGAGCGGAGGTACACATCTGTACGTTGAAATGTAGCAACTGAGCCCGAGTTGACTGAGGATGCGTCACAGGGAGAAACCCCTTCATTAGGCTAATCACACATACACACTTTCAGCAAGATCTCCGCGCGTGTGTGTGTGTGTGTGTATGTGTTTGTGATTTCCCCCGCCTGCCAAGACGAAACTAAAATATGCAGGTTTACAGCTGTAAACAGACAAAGACTAAATCAGGTCATTTCGCCCTTTAATCTTTTTGAGTGTGTGTGTGTGTGTGTGTGTGTGGATGTTCTCAGGGTTGGAAGGTAAGCAAAGTGCTGATGTGGCTGATTTTCCCCCAGATGAGGGTGGGGGGGAGAGGAGGTCGGGGGCTAGATACAGCAGCAAGATTTTGATGGCTGGACATTAGCCAATAAATGATGGGCGGTGAGAGAGAGAGAGAGAGAGAGAGAGAGAGAGACAGGGAGTTTAAGAGCAAAGTATGAGAACCATGTGTGTATTTCATGTGTGTGTGTGTGTGTGTGTGTGTGTGTGTCCTTCCCATACGGGACCCTGCGTGGATGTAACTAGTCAGTGGTCAAGGCCGGGGGCACATGCTCCAGTGGGCCCTGGAAGAACTAGTGCCTGGTCACTGCCAACAAGCTCCTCAGTGTGTTTTTGGCAAAAGGAAAATATTATTCTAATGTTAAATTTGTCTTGTTTTCTTGTTGTTTAAAAAGATGTTCTCCAAACTGTTTCTACTCGGTGTGTGCGCTCCGTGTATGACTCATCGATGGTTCTGCTGAGATGCGGCGGCTGGCTGTGGGGGGGGCTTCCGTCTTGTGGAGGTTTAAACGGCACTCCATTCCCACTCACATGATTTGATTCTTCCGGCTAATAGGGCGATTTTCACAAGCAATTAGACTGCGTATCTATCAGCCTTCTTATCCTTTCCCTTTTCGGTAAACTGTTACGTACTGGTTCACTTTGCACAAGGGAGCGACCTGGCCATGACCGAGTTTGGTGGTTAGTCTTCAGTGCTTTCAATTTCCCTTCACATTTGTGTAATTTGAGAGCCCGCAAACGCGCTAAAAGTAGCCTTAGTGGTCTTTCCCGGGAAGAAGACATCGCAAACCTCTAACGTGCTTGCCGTATAACTGCAGATGGGGTCGTTACAATGGGGCACCTTTTTCCCGTTTTTTTTGTTTTTGTTAGAACGTTTCAGTTCCACGGTGTCCAGAGAGCCCACGGCTCCACAACAAACGCGAACCGGAGGCCGAAGTCATTCGCATTGAATTCACGCTGCAAAAAAGCTTCCCGCAATTTCCCACAACTCGACCGTATTTCAAACACGACTGACACCTTTTCAGAATGAGACGGGCTAATTATTGATGTGGAGAAAGACGTGCGGTAGCGTGCGGTCGCTTGTTAATATTCATACGTGTGTGACTTCACAAGGTATTTGCGCATCGCGGCTGAACAGCATGAGGTGGAGGGAGTGGGGGGGGGATTTCTCAGATGTCACTGATACTGAATGCTGATGGTGGGATAATCAACCGCAGTCGGCGCCGACTGAGAGACAGACCGCAGTGAAGTCATTAACAAACCAATGTCTCTGGAGAAAGAGGGAGGGGGGCCGGCGAGGGAGGGAGACGCTGATATGAGGGAAAGTGGCAGAGTGGAAGGGAAGGTGAGAGAGGGAGTGGGAGGAGAACATATTAGCATTGACTTGACATCCAGAGGAAGTAACAACAGATAAATAGAAGTGAGTGTGTGTGTGTGTGTCGCTGTCAAAACAGTGATGGAATGTCTTACTTACTCATCAGCTGTGTTCATTTTGGGGTCATATAAAGCAACGGACGGCAATACAGGACTGATTATCTGTCTATTGCTGTGCGGAAAATAGCTCACCACCGGCTAAATGTAGGTGTCTGTGGGTATAAATGACGAGTTTTGGATTTAACAGAGAGAAGTGTTCCATAGGCTTAAATCTGTTTTAGCAATTTAATTCTACCTAAGGCTGGGAATGAGTATGGAGTCATTGTTGACACACGCATGCACAGCCCCCTCTCCAACAACGTGTGCGCCAGTGAGTGAGTGATGTGATTGGTTTATCTTCGGGCTATCTGCGCCCAATTAAAAGTGTGTTACAGTGCCCTGATCTTATCTGCATCAGCGCTGTACGTCCCTGA